AAACACGTAGGCTTTCAAGGCAAGAGGCATTCAGAGGTGGTTTTGCCATTGCCTGACTCTGTGTGGCGACCCTGGACTCCTTTGGTGGCCTCCTGTCCAAATTATAACCAGGGCCAACCCAGCTAAGCATCTGAGATCTGACAAGATCAGGCTAGCCTGGTCCATCCAGGTCAGGGCAGTGAAGGATACAAGAAATGAAGAATACATTTGAATACAGTGAGGAATACATTTGCACACTTGTGCCATTGGAAATATTGGAATCCTTTCCTTTCTGTCTTACCTTTGATCAGTCCTCACTTTCTGTTTGGTTGAGCCATCAGTTTATACGTCTCAGGCTTCTCATCTCTTAATCAGACCCACAATGATATATTAAGGAATGGTATGATAGTGAAGGGTGTGAAACTGGAAATCCCAGAGTCAAATCCTAATTTACCTGTGTACCACTCAGTGGCCATATCACAGGGCTGGATCCCTGGACAGGCTGCCCATGTGGCTGCTTGGGGCAGGCAAAGAAGCTGATTGGCATCCCACGTAGGCCCACACCACTGCTGGCTGCATCCAAGCCAAGCTTGGAGCTGGACAGAGGTGTGTGGGGGTCCCAAGAGGGGATGGGTGCATGTGGTTTCGGACAACAAGATACCTTGCCCTGGGTGGCCTTGGGCCAGTCATGCAATCTTGGCGTAATAACCTACCTCACATCACTGTTGTGAGGATAAAATGGAGAACAATGTAAAGAAAGGGAAGGGAAGGCGAGAAGATGAGGGGGAGAGAGATAGAATGGATATGAAGTCCACTCCCCCAATGCACTCTTAGCCATGGCAGGGTGAGAAAACATTTTGACTCCCACATTTTTTCATCTCACCTGCTCTTCAAGGAGCTTAGAGTGATATACAGGGATCCTCCCTTCCTCTTCTTACCTTCAGAGGCTGGTTAGGCTTAGAGAAAGTGACTGGCCCAAGGTCACCAGTGAGCTTACAGATGAATGGGAACTTGAGTCTACACTCCTGATCTAACACACTAACAACTACTCAATACTCATACACATGAGATTCACAGAAGCAGTCACGCTAAGGACTTGTACAGATCCATTATGAGTTTGTGTTGATTTGATGGGATTCTGGTGCAAAAAATAGACTTTACCAGGATGAAATAGGTCAACAAGATAATGTGTACAGGCAAAGTTCTTTGAGAACCAGGGCTATTTGGGGGCAGGAACGCACAGGAACGGAGTTCTGGCTGGCTCCTGAGTTGGCCACTTCCAGCAGGAACTCGTTAACATAATAGACCACACCTAACTGCAGAAACTCATTAGGATTGGCTATATTAGGGGTGTGTGGTCTAACAAGCAAAGAAGTTCCTGCTACAAAAAAAGCCCTGGGTTTTGACAACAAACAGAGTAAACAGAATAAGAAGCAAAAGGTGAGTGTGGTAGCATGGGGGTGTGGTCTAATATGCTAATGAGCTGTGATGTCAGGGGTGTGGCTTAATATGTTAATGAGTTCCTGCTGTTGGGTGTGGCCTATTATGCTAATGAGTTCCTGCTGGGCTTTTTCTACAAAAAGAGCCCTGTTGAGAACTATACAAACATCTATTAACTAGTGCTATTTTATTTCTAGTTTGAACATCTGTGCCTGAAGAACACACTTTCAAAACGCTCCCGTCCTAGATTTTTCAACTACTAATAGGTGCAATTGCAATGGATTGCGATCAATACTGTCTTGCTGAAATACTTGAGGCACGTAATCCAGCAGGAGCACAGAAACTTTCATTCAATCACCCTAACACTTGAACACATGAAGCTGCCTTCTATGAAGTCAGACCACTGATCTATCAAGGTCAGTCTTGTGTACTCTGACCAGTGGCTCTCCAGGGTATCAAGGTCTTTTATCTACTACCTGATCCTTTGAACTGCAAATGCCAAGGATTGAACCTGAGACCTTCTGCATGCCAAGCAGATGATCCACAGTCTGTTCCTAATCACCTTTTACAGACCCTACTCCCACCGCTCCATGACCAAGACGGACTTGCCTAGGATTTTCAGCAGGCATGCCACTCCTTCAAGAGGACACATTTAAAACAGGAGCAAGTGAAGTGCATGAGCAACCTCCATACATCAGAGTAATTCTAGAACCAAGATGGGCTGGCTGCAGCCTGACTAGAATCCCCACAGTCCAGTGATGCGCAGATTTACAAAACGAATGAGCGCATACTTGATGGCTAAGGTATCATGATTCTACGTTAGGATGTCCACTACTTCTTAAGAAATTAAGTGCCCCAGCATTCTTTGCAAGATTATCAGCATCCAGTTACCCAAATTTTCTGGTAGGTGGTTCCCCAAAAAGTGAACTTTGGCTCGCCTTCTGCTCTCCTAGAAGATACCACTTTATTAGTGTCATGTCGTACTTCCCAAAACCCATTAGCAATATCACCAGAAAACTCCACATACTGGAAAATATTCAGAACTGTTCATCATTCTGCTACCTGACAAAACTTCTGTATAGTAAGAACAGTCCAGCTGGATCAGACCAGTGGCCCACCTAGTCTAGCATTATGACTCACACAATGGTCAACTAGTTACTCTGGCAGGACAACAATAGGGCATAGAGGCCAAGGCCTTCCTCAAATGTGGAGGTTCTTTTAGTCAACATGGCTGGTAGCCACTGATGGACCTCTCCTCCATGAATGTGTCTAATCCTATTTTTAAGCCATCATGCCTTTGGACATCATTATATCCTCTGAAAATGAATTCCACATTTTAATCACTCATGGAATATGTTGTCGAAGGCTTTGACGGCTGGGTTGTTGTAGATTTTCCAGGCTGTCTGGCTGTAGTCTTCTTGGCATTGTAGTACCTGAAGTTTCGCCAGCAGCTGTGACTGGCATCCGCAGAGGTATAACACAGAAAGACGGAGTACTCTCTGTGTCAATGTTGACACACTGACATTGTTGACAACATTGACACAAAGAGTACTCCATCTTTCTGTGTTATACCTCTGCGGATGCCAGTCACAGCTGCTGGTGAAACGTCAGGTACTACAATGCCAAGACCATGGCCAGACAGCCTGGAAAATCTACAACAACTAATGCATGGAATAGTTTTCTTTTGTCTGTTTTGAATCTGTTGCCCATTTATTGTGTGATCATGAGTTCTAGTATTTTGGGAGAGGGAGAAAAAAACTTATCACCACATGTTTTCTCTGCTCCAGGCATAATTTTATAAATCTCTATCATGTCCCCCTCTTTTAGCCATCTTTTTGTTAGTCTGAAAAGTCCCAGACTCTTAAACCTTTCTTCACAGGAAAGTGCTCCAACCCATTAACCACCTCAGTCACCCTCTTCTGTAGTTTTTCCAACTCTGCAATATCCTTTTTGAGATGGCAGCCAGAATTGCACACAATATTTCAACTGAGGCTGCACCATAGATCTATGCAGGTACATTATAATACAGGCAGATTCAGGTGGGTAGCCATGTTGGTCTGAAGCAATAGAACAAAGTTTGAGTCCAGGGGCACCCTTAAGACCAACAAGTTCACGCACACAAAAGCTTATACCCAGAATTAAACTTTCTTAGTCTTAAAGGTGCCCGTGGACTCAACATTTGTTACAATACAGGCAATTATTTTCAGCACCTTTCCTAGTAATCTCCAGCATGGAATTCGCCCTTTTCACCACTGTATCAGAGCTTTCAGTGACCTATCCATTTTGACCCCAAGAGCTCTTCCTCTCTCAGTTTCAGCAAGTTCAGGTTTTATTCCTACTCCTTCCTTCCTGCCATTTAACCAACGTTTAATTCATAAGACAAACCATCCCCTTATCCCATAATTGCTAAGATGATCCAAGAGTCTGTAGCGAAGCACCTTGTCAAAAGACTTTCCAAAGTTCCAATATATAACATCTACCATGTTCAGTTTCTCAAAAGTAGTGAAGCAGGACTTGCGCATTATTTCATTTCGCTGTGCATTATTCCGTTTGATTTTTTGTGCAAATTTTATTTGAAGGAACAAGCATTCTGGTTAACAGATTCCGTTCTGCAAGGTATAACCATCTCGGTAACATTCTTAACTAATACAGCAAATTCAAATTTCCCACGCTTTTGATTAACAGTGCTGAGGGAGCCGGGGGCACTGAATACTGAACTAAAGTTCAAGGCCCTCAAAGTGTCATTTTCTCACAACTGAAAACAGCTGACCGCATCATTCCCATAGTGCACCTGGGGAGCATAAGAAGAGCTCTAAACGGGCCCGGCATCCTGTTGCCACGTGTGACCAGACAGAGGCTCCTCTCCACAAAGTACACAAGCAGCACATGCATATACAGCTCAGCTCTTTTTGGTTGTCCATCCTCCAGCATTTGGTATTCAGAGGCAGACTACCTCTGAACATGGAGGCTTCCCTGAGTTGTCCTAATAATAATTAATTATTATTGTCACATGGCATTATGTGTAGTGTAGCCAGGAGATCCAAAGATCATCTGGCAGTCTTCAGTTCTAACTCTTTTTGCATTGTGCACCACCAGGTGGTGAGCTAGACTTATTTTTTAGGCTGAGAGAGTTCTGAGAGAGCTCTGACTGGCCCAAGGTCACCCAGCTGGCTTCAAGTGGAGGAGTGGAATCGAACTGGGTTCTCCAGATTAGAGTCCTATCACTCTTAACCACTACACCAGGCTGGCTCTCCTGAGTTGTCCTATCTGATAGCCCTGCAAAGACCACTGAAATCCCAGGAATCTCAGTTCTAAAGACCCCACCACACCCACAGCCCCCACATTCACTCACTTCCTTCTGCCTGTCCAGAAGCTTCACTTAGGTCCTCGAGTTATAGCGTGGGGGGGGGGGGGGGGGGGGCTATGCTGTCCATTGTATGTTCTCTGCCCTATAACTGAAGAGGTCAGGAGGAGGTGTAATGGGACGGCATTCATGCCTTGCTTTCACCTTCAAATCGCTTTCTGGGCGTTCCGCTGGGGATCAGGACTCCCAGGCAAGCTCCCCTCCCGCCCCCAGCCGCTTAACCCTTTCGACGCCGGCTTACCACCAGAATGGCGTTAAAGTGGTCGCTCTTCACTTTCTGCACCTGGATGCAGGAGGCGGGCACCTGCAACAAGCCGCCCCCTTTGGCCAGGTTGCCGGCAGCGTCTCCGTTGGGCACCAGGTTGTTGTTGCTGCTGGGCCCCACGCCCAGCGCCGCCCGGTACAGGTAGGTGTGCGTCAGCTTGCCCATGCCGGCGATCTCGACCATCTCCGGGGTGAAGTGGGAGCCGGGCAGCATGCGCACGTTGTAGCGGTACTTCTCGTACTCGTCGCCGGGGCAGCAGCAGGAGCAGCCGGAGCAGGGGCGGGCGGGTCCGGGCCGGGCGTGGAGGAGGCGCAGGGCCAGCAGCACCAGGAGGAAGCCCAGGAAGACGCAGGAGAGGCAGCCCAGCGAGACGATCAGGTAGAAGTTGAGGCGGGGGGGGGGCTGGG